CTTCCAGCATGTATCATGATTTTTAGCACAATGAATATTTACTTCATGCAAATTGAACAGCTGTGACAGGGAAAAGTGAAAGAGCCCCTACTCCAGTGTACCTTATAGCCTGGCCTTCAGTGCATTCACTAGGGTGAGAAGGAGATGTAGGTTCAAATCCCTTCAGGCAAAGAAGGAAATTAAATCCACATCTCCCAAATTTTAGGTGAATCCTCTAACTACTGGGTGGGGAACAGGTGCATCACTGGCAGCTTCACCATCTTTTTCTCTAGCCATGGTTGGTAAGGAGGGGCTGGCTTAGGCAGCTTAGTTGAAGAAAGGAATTTTTATTTGTGAATCCAGAGTGGTGGCAGGCATCTTCCTGCAGTTTGGCATCAGCATTCCTTTTACACATGCTCCGATGTGTTCTGATCAGAGTGCATCAGAGCAGACTCGATGAATGAGTCTGCTGGAGCGTTTTAATCAGATCTCTCCAGTGTGCTGCAGTGCCTTGTGTATTCAGAGTCCCCACACTTTGAAATGGTGATGGGGTGCTTTAACTAAAGCTCATCAAATGAGCTTTAGTTAAAGTGCCCCCACCACCACTTTGAAATGTGGGACACTGAATAAACAAGAAGCTGCAGGCATTTTACTTACAGCTACTTCTGAAAGCTGCTATAATTAAAATGACCCCTCCCCCATCCTGCAGCACATGTATAAGTGCTGTAAGAGCCCAAGTCCAGGGCACTAACAAATCATCTCTCTCCTCAGCATTTCCTGTTTTCTCTGATTAATGTGGTTCTAGCCTTGGTGGGTCCCACTAGTGGGTACCTAATTCTTCTATATGCTCTGCAGGTAGCATAGATGTCTCCCTTGGAGCTGTGGATTCCATTAAACAGTGACATGCTATTCAGTTCCCACTATTGGACACTGAAACAGGTGCGGAGGCCCAATCCACACACCCTTGCCTTCAGGCTATTGCCCTGTACACAGTCATTCATTGGAATGGCAGTAGCTTTCAGTTAGGATGATCAAAACACCATTGTGGTATATCTTTGGGGCATAAGTTATCCATTGGCCCAAACGGCATGCTTTTTTTTTCATCCTAGAAGAATCAGCTCTGCTGTTAGTATGTGATTCTGTTACATTTTAACCCAGGGGTGGGCAAAATGTGGCCCGGGGGCTGGATGTGGCCCACCAGGCCATTCTATCCAGCCCGCAGGGCCCCTAAAATATTTAGAAAATTAGTATTAATCTGCCCTGAGCTGCCTGTGATGCGGCCCTTGATGGCTTGCCAAAACTCAGTAAGCGGCCCTCTGCCCAAAATAATTGCCCACCCCTAACCCATGTGGGATCACCCCTTGACCTAATCACATGCAGCTGGCTGAACTTAAATACCACAGTTCCAAAAGAATAGGTATAGATGGTGTTAATCCCCTCAGTTATTATATGTGTTACATTGGCATAAGGCCATCACTGGAAAGTTTCTAGCAGGAGTGAGATGTGATTCCTTAGTACATTACTCTAGCTGTATGCCAGCCTGTCTCCAGTAAGACAGCAGTGAATGAAATGGCTTGGTAGGTGATAAATGCTGAGTTAATATTTACCAGTTGTATTTACTAAAATCACATACCCTGTAATGGGAAACGATCCATGAAATATGTGGTAAAAAGGCCAAGATTAATTGTTCCTTCACCTACACAGCTGTGGCAAGCATGATTCTCAGAATGACTGCAGCTTAGATTGGAGGATCCAAAAAAAGGGGAGAGTTATTAATCTGAGTATTTTACCAGCCCACAGCAACACTGAATCTGCGTACTAAATTCACATGTTCCCTGTTGCTCTGAGAGGGGTTAAAGTTACCTTAGCCCTTTTCCCATCATTTTTTTGCATTTTAGTGTAGGCAGAGGTATAAGTGTTTTTATTCAAAACATCATATCCGTATTTCTGAAATGATTGCTGGGCCTGTGAGTAAGGCTGGTGCTCACCGGGAGTGTAGCACAGTGCTCTCCTGCAAGAAGCCAGGCATGGAGCATCTCCTGACAGTGAATGGCTAGAAATGCTGTTCCCACAAAAGTGACAGAATAGTAGCAATAGTCATCAAGAAGAGACAAACATATGTAAGAAAACTGATGAAGGGGAGGAAGAAGAAAGGGTCTCATTCTTCCCTGGGCAGTGAAGTTTTTCCAAAATGCACCCGTTCTTTTCCCAGGCAGGGAACTCCAGACAGGACAGGACATGTTCTTTCCTGAATGCAGCAGGGGTGGGCTATGGTGCTGTCAGCTATCTGCTTCCCTCTACATCCTCGTGTGGTAGGCATGCTTTAAGTCTTGCCAATTGGCAATGTTTCCGAAGTCATTGCTGGAGGAAATCACAATTTAGCCCACTCCTCCTGCCTATTGGGCCCAGCCCCCAAAATGTTCCATGTATAAAGAGTGACCAGTGAAGGAGGTGAAGGAGTCAGCTCTATATGAACTAGGTACTCTTCCATTCTGAGGCCATCCACAGGCAGGAGCTTGCAGGAGTTGGATGCTCTCTTTGCACTACTGTCTGGTTTGTACAGAGGGCAAGGGGTGTTATTGTGATGGAGCTGCCGGGTGGAGTTCATAATTGCTTCAGGTTCTAGGTTAAGGTCTTGCCACTGGACCTTATCTGATCAATTGGACATTGGATCCCTTCCTCACCCTCAGGCAGTACGTCCTTTTTTATATCAATCTGTGGGGACAACTTACCTCTGATCAATCATATCTTGGCTTAACTGCCCCTGCTCCATCAATGAGCCCTTCATGTGCACGAGGAGGCCATATCTGGGTTTGCTCAGAGTACTGCTTGATCAGAGGTTAACAGCAAAGGTTATTATAGTAGCATCCAATCAAACACAAGGAATTTAGGGTCATCCAAATATAATTTACTTCATACTCTGGGTTATCAATTGTCTTTTCTGTGGTCTGATATCCTGATTGCGCGGTGGTGAGAGTGGAAGTAGAGTTGTGTTTCGAAGCAAAAAGAGCAGGTATGTGGTCATTCCATCTGTGGTGCCATAAAATCTCATTTCAGCATTGTATAGCAGCCAAAATGGCAAAACTTCAAGAACAGGCTTTACCTCCCATAGCTAGTACCTTAGTTTAACTGTGAGTGACAATGGAGTTAATGGGGCACAGACAGTGGGAAAAGGGTAATGTGAACCCATGTGTCATGTCTTGCACAATGCTCTTGCCTGTTGGCACTGAATGTTTTGAAGAGTAACTGCAGTAGCAAATCTCTTTGTGGCAGATACTCACACCTGCACCTCTGAGTCGATCCCCTAAATGGCCATTAAACTCTCAGGAAAACAAGAAGACAAAAAAAATCAATGATTTCAAAGCTCTGGGATGCTTAATTTTCTACATGCCAGATAGGCTAGAAAAGAAGCAAGCAAATCACCTGTTCTGTATTCCAAAGGACACGTTGGCTGCTTGCTACACAGAGGAGGGTATATTCTGTTTTGTCACCGAGGCCAGTACCCGGGGGGGGAGGGGAGGTGGGGGGGCATTATATAACCCACCTATTCCCTATAGGGCAGCTTAGTGTAAGGGAACCTTTGTCATGCATGTCCATTTTAGTAGCTGCGATTGAGTATTGGGCTACATTTTTCTACAGACTGCTTTTCTTATGGCGTGTATATTCTTCAGTACTCTGATTTAGCAGCAGAGCAGGTAAATCCACCCTAATGCACCAGGAAATCAAGCCCTAGAGTTACTGTAATAAAATAATCTTACACAATGAATAAATGTGATAAGAAAGATCATAGTCTGTTTGTTGAAAATTGGTGAACAGAAAAAGGAGAAAGATTAGCAAAATATTAAGGGTGCATTATTTGTCCACTTGTAAGAATGGTATATAGCAAGTAACAAACCAGAGTGACTGTTGGAAAATCAAAATGAAACCATTGTTTCCTTTTTTCACAGTTAGGCTAAGAATCTTCTGTTTTGAGCTGCTATAAACCATCTTCTGAAGAAATTATCTGGCTTCAGGCATTCACTAAAAGGATTAAAAAATGACTCACCCTTGTTTTTGGGCAAGATTCCAATGGCTTTACTGACACTGAGTGGTGCATTAGTGAGTAGTCTCATTGACACCTGTAAAGTACTTTTCAACCTAAATATCGGACCCTGATTTCAGGCAATTCAGAGTGTATTGTACATCTCAAGCTCTCCAAGGTCTGTGCCCTGAATGTGTGCATAGACCAGCTTATGCTCAAGTCCTAAGAGTTTTTGTTGGGCTTGTATGACATGGGGTCTTGAAATCACAAATCAACATAATGAAAACCATCTTTCCAACTAGCACTGTTGCAGTGATAACATTAAAGAAATTAAAGAAGGAAATTGGGATCTTCATGTCCTTTTTGTGGAACTCAGGTATCTAACAGCCATATGATCCTTTGAAAATCCCAGTCTCTGTGGACATGGAAACTAGTTGTCCCCAAGATATGTCTAAGCCACACTTCTAATGCATTCACTTCTAATGCTCATCCTTCTGCTGTCAGCAATTTTTCTTTAGATAAGCCACTCCTAATGTTTAACCCTACAATAATTTTTGTGCTTTAATATTAAGAAGTATCCATTCAGCCACAAGAGGGAGCCAGCAGCAGAACTATACTTATGTGCAAGCCAGGAAGGACTTAAATCAGGGCTATGACTGCTTGTGACTAATAAGACATAGTAAAGAGAAGGAAGTTTGTAGCAAAAGGAAAGGCACACCATATTAAAGCTTTTAAAGGAAAATGAATGCAGCAAAGAATGATCTCCTCTGACCCAAAATAGAGTACTGCATGAACATGAATTTGTCTTCTTCAGAAAGAGGTTCAATTGCTCAGTGTTAAATCTGAGTCAATGAAAATAATCAGTGAAGCTCCACCTCTCAGGGACCCTGCCATCAATGTTTTGTTCTCATGCCAAATTCCTGGACTATAAAAATTTGCCCATAAGCCAAAGCAAAAACATTCTCCTGGAAGTATTTTCAAGTTGCCAGTTTGCATTGAGATGGGAATAAATAACAGAAGAGCACTATGGATCTTCTTCCTAGTCTGGAGTTGTTGTGAAGGCAAAGCACCACTGAATATAGGTAAGAAAGATCTAACTCTCATGTTGTTCACTTAGATATTTATGCCCATTAAGTGATAAATATAAATGCCAATTAAAAAAACACAATTTGTTAGATGATGATAAATACAAGTCTTATATACAGTTTAGCGCCATGTGCAGTCCCTATACCTTGATCACATTTAAGTTATTCATTGTTTTCTTTGTATTAAAAAGCAATCTATCAACTATTTCTCTCCCTCATGATCAGTTGTTTAAATAACAGATTCTCTGTGCATCTTTTTTAATATATAAAAAATAGCAACATTCTCTTTAACTGTCTAATTATACACACAAACACACTGTATATGGGATAGTTGTCAGCATGATGCCTTGCTAGAGTTTCTTGCCCAACATGGTACGTTATACTATTTTTTTATTCCTGGTCTGTTATATTCTCATTTCTGGTTCTCGATGTCTCATAGCTTTCCGAGTACATTTAATACATAAACAATTGATACGATGGTTGCTGTATTACTAGCAGGGAACCCCATCTCCCACTCCCTCATGAGTAGAACATTCTTATTTTCCCTTTCCTGATATGTGGAAAAGTACTAATTTATTCTATTCCATTCAAGTGTTACAAATAGCCATTACAAATTGTGATCAGAAAAACAGCTGTAAAGAGTCATTGGCACCTTAGTTCATTTTATAGATGTATCTTCTGCATAATGAAATTTTCAACCCGTGCTTGCTGATTCTTAGTTATAAATATTTCCTGACTTTTCAGAGTTCACTAGGTAAGTTAATGGTTGATTTTGATTTGAACAGTGATGCATATTGTTAGTCTGGTATTCCTACAAGAACCAGATTAAAAAAATCAAGGAAACTACTCATTTTCTCCTGCTATTTTTCCAGCTGGGGCAATGAGAGATACTGAAATCATATGGCAGCAAAAACACATTCTTGAATCTAAGCTGTAATTTCCATTGAAGGAGTTTTTTCACTAGTTTTAGTTCAGCAGTATGAAAACTACCAATTTTTTTTTTTCTGAGATGTTAGTTCATTTGTCCTCTAAGACCATTTTGAAATGTGGCAGGAGTATAGACAATTCAAAACTCAGATGATTTACTCCTGAGCCAGGCAGAGAAGGGAAGAAGCCAGACGGTTTTCTGAGCAATACAAATTGGCCAAATTGGGGCCAAGCCTCAGGTCCAAAGTGTTTTAGGTTGGATTGAGTTGTGTGGAAAATTGAAGCAAAAGAACTTACAGTAAAAGTTCTTTATTGGCATTTCCATCAAGGAGGATAACACACTGACTAAGCCAGGACTAAACATAAATAAACTATGAAAAACACAGTACATTTGAAAAAATTGTAATCACAGCTGGCATTTTTTGATTTTCTGCTGGAGGCAGCCATCTTGCTGCAAAGCCACATCACTAGTGATATTTGCTGAACAGGGGCCCAGTTAAAGTGACTAGTTTCTAACAGCAAACATTTAATGATATTTAAAGGGAATAATTTTAAAGGAAAAAGGACACAAAGGCACTCAGCTCCCAGTGTAATCCAATATGAGTTGGATGCTATTACTGTTTGGGAAACTCTTCCATCATATTTTTAAAGAACCACACCAATGGGAGAGGCTTGTCGTGTGGAAATAAGAGCTTGTGCACACTTGTAACCTCCCCACTTTATCTCTTTCTACAGTTCAGCTTCCTGCAGTCAACAAGAGTGAATGTGCTACCTGGGGCAATTTCCACTTTCAGACATTTGACCAGGTTAAATTCAGTTTTCCTGGAACCTGCTATTATGTTTTTGCCTCGCACTGCAATGATGGCTACCAGGACTTCAACATCCAGATCAAGCGCAGTAAAGGGCAAAGATCCCCTGTCTGCTTCACAGCCAACATTGATGGGGTGCTTCTGGAGGTGAAAGGCTCAGGCATCATAGTGAATGGAAAGGAGTGAGTAAACATGTACTGCTGACATATTTTCTCGTTTACATGCCTCTTCTATATGGTCATAGATCACTGTCCTCACTGTAACTGGTATATTGTTTTGGAGAGTGAGCAAAAGTGAGATAATACAAAAAAAAAAGCAAGATATTCGTGATACTTCAAACTCTATAGTGCTACTGTATACCAAGAGGGAAGTTTCTTCTTTTACCCAGTTGGCTGATCTGGCAACGAGAGCTTTAAGAAAGTCATATAAAAACTTGACCCTTTGGAGTACTGAACATCATTTATGAGAGCATCTGTACTACAGTTGGCATTTAGGCAGAATTCAAATAAGTTTCTTAGGGGCCTACACTTAGGTTTGCAGTGCCTAAGTATTAGGATCTGTGCTCAGGCAGTTCATTCAGTATGACCAGTTTAGGAGTCTAGGATCTCTACGCAATTAATCCAGAGGATTTGGAGATACCTAAGCACTCTACACAGAGAATGGCAATTCAGAAAGCTGAAAGACCTCTAGAGTAAGTAATAAGAAACACCAAATGCAGGATGTCTGGATTCCTACCCCTCCTAGGCTGGGTATAGACATTTGGGGAGGCTAGGGGAAGGTTATATTGAGTTAAAATGGCCAATCAATCTAAGGTAAGTCAGGATGAGGGGGGCTAGTGTGGGGGGGAGGATTGAGGTGTTTGCGAGAGAACTGGGGGGTAGACATGGTCCATGGGGAGGACTGGGGGGATAAGCAGGGTCTATAGGAAGAATTGGAGGTGTTAGTGAGGTCCACAAGAGGGATTGGGAGGATCAGGGGGAAAGTGGGATCTGTGGGTTGGATCGGAGGGAATGGGGGAGCAGATGGCTTCCATGGGAAGGATTAGGGGGCTATGGGAGGCTGCAGGAGGGATCAGGGGG